TTTTTCTTTTTGGGACAATTTATTCTTTTACGGTTCATTATCAGCCAGAGATTTGATAGGATAAGTTGACCCCATAATTGACATATTTTATATATATTAAGCATCAGAAATAGATATTGCACCAACTGCCTGCTGCTGCTGCTGTTGCTGCTGTGTACTAAAACCTCTAATAATTATAAGTTTCCTTTTTGTAAGATGTGCCCAGAGATCAAGATTATTATTGCTATGTGTGGAAATTAATATTTTCTATTTTAAGATTTTCAATATTGATGATTTATAACTTACACATTATTTCTATTTATAAAAATTTGATGAAGAAATGAGGAGTTCGTCATAATTTTAAATAGCACTACTATTTTATATGGGTTTAATGGAATGAAATTATGTATTTTTGATGTTTTCACAAGAGTTTTCAATTGATTTTTATTATTACTTTACCAGTACGAATTGGCTTTCTTCTTCAAAGAGAGGATGATGATTTTGTTTCAAAAATCATAGCAATGATAGCATTTATAGAGCCATAACAAAATGATTCTTTAACTATATTTGAATGAAAAGATATGTTATTTTCGAAATCTAAAATAAAATTTCGATTGCTGTTATATAATTGACTACTTTGTTCAGCTCTTACATTAATGTTAATGTCCTACAAAATCGGACCGGTCATGAAGCAAAAAAGAAATAAAAGTTAAACCCCGGTTCTGACAAGTTCAAACCCCATTATATACAGAAACTATTATAAGCTTGGACCAAACCAGTTGAATGTCCAGTTCATAGCTAAGCTGGTTAAACCGCTCGGTACGGTTCTGTTTCTAAACCATGTATATACTAGAAATGTGGAAATCTAACACATTTGTTCATACTGTTTTAAGAAATTACAATCGGCTTTAAGCCTTGACCATTTTTAAAAAAAAAATTAAAGCAACTGATGAAACTTTAGACTTCGGCAAAGGTGATCAGAGAGCCATCAAGGCCTGAGGTGAACAAAGGGGGTGTTGAAATATAAACTTGTTTTAGTTGTTTAAATAAAGCTTAATTTCTATAAGCTTATTCTAGAATATGTGGTAGGTATGAAATTATTGTGTAGTAGGTGTGGTAGGTGTGGTAGGTGTTGAATTATTGTGTGGTAGGTGTGGAATTATTTGTAACCATTGGATTGTAATTGTGGTGGCACAATCCTAGCCATTAATTTAGGAGGTGCCACTAGTATAAATAGGGGTGGAGTCTTTGAGTTTGTATCAAGCCAAGTTAAGGTGTTAAATAAGAGTGAAGCTTCTTCCATAAGTTGTGTTTTTTAGCATTTGTCATTTCCTAAAAGTTTCTTCATTCCAACATGTGATTCTCATAAAATTTTGAAAGATTTACATACATATCGCTCAATTCCTATCTATTCACATAGCTAACACCTATACTTCAATTTTTATGTATATGCCACCTTATACATGCGTTAAAAGGTATTTTTTAAGGAGAAAGTAATGCTTTGCCTTTTTTTCTCTTGTGACTAAGACTAATTCTTAAACTAAACAAATAGATAGCTAAAATGAAAATGTTATGTTGTACCTTTACATTGTACTAAGTTTAAAATTATAATCTAATTGACTATGTCGCATGAATATTACTTCTTTACAATCAGATTTTGTCATATTAGGATTGCTTGGAGGATTGGTCATCTGAAAACAAGTTCAGTGGCACAAGCCAAAGAATATTCAAATGAGGACCTCAAGGCTCAAGCTCCAAAGGTAAATTGGTCTAAATTTTTAAAATTTCATCTATTAAATTGACTTCAAATATTATAACACTTTTGTTTATAAGTCCAAAATCTTTTAGAGTAATCATATATCCATAAACAATTTTATAATTAAATTGACTTAACCTATTGTAGCATTTAATTGCAGACTACTAAACCTAAAGTTATGAATCATGAAAATTTAAATAAATTTTCAATTTAAGAACTATTTCATTTTGAAATTAAAGATCTATTTAAAATCATGAATTTTAAAAGAGGTATACAACTAATCTTAAGCATACTAAGAAAACAAAACTGATATATTTTAAAAGATTAATATAAAATTAATTAATTAATTTAAACAATTATATAGTAGCTTGTTAAGTAGTTTTATTTGGAATTCATATTCAAGCAATCATGAAGGTTAGGAGGTGTTTCATGAGGCTTGCTTGGTCGGTTGAAACATGATCCTACGTATGAGTTAAACAGATTTAGCTCAACATCTCAAGCGCCAAGGGTAAACTTATCTGTTTTTTTTTTTAATAAATTAGTTTAATTATTATTGTTTGAGTTTAATTTACCAAATTGATCCAAGGGTGACAAAAACATAGTTAAATTATTGCAACAATATTAAATTTTGGCACAAAAATATAAATATTTTAGGTAGTTATGTTTCTATGTGATTTCAGAAATATGTTGCAAAATATTTAAAATCATATTAGAGGCAATTATACTTCATTCCAATGGTATCAAATTCTATAAGATTTAAATGAACTAGAGGATCATATTTATGATTTTTTTATCATACATATAATTTATGATCATATACACAATCTATAATGTCATAGATGTTGGGAACTAGCCTTCAATTATTCATTATCTAACTACTGTAGAGGAGATTAAGTGCCTCTTTTGAGTCAAAAAATAACTTTTAGAGACATACATATATTTATAATTAAATTTATTAAAATTTAAATTCAATGTAGATATGATTATCCAGAGAGAATTTTTGTAGTCATTCAACCAAAGAATTTTCTTGGCATTTTTATTATTGAATCTTTTTGGGATGTCGGGTTCTGTATTGTTCGTGGGCTCACGTAGCCCGAAAGAGACCAATGGAATGAAAATTTATGTATTTTCTAGGCATAAATTATGTGTTCTATTTTTCGATCCTCTAGAGAACGAATAATGTGATCTAATGAGAGGAGGGCGCAAGAGAGGTCCGGTGAGAATCGCGATCCTCCGAATCTACAGTCTCTAACCTCTATAGCCCCTACCCTCCTCTTTTATACATGTTCAAGAAATATAAGTTAAAATATACGAAATATGTCCACGGTATTTTGTTGAAAAGATCGCGATGTGTGTCAAATGACTCATAAATAAGGACACGACATATGCCAATCCTTGATGTCGGTATTGATATTTGTATTCTTATAGTTACGAGAATTGATGATAAGACAAGCTATGCAGTTCGTCAGGTGGAACAGTTCGACAGGTCAACTCGACGCTTAAGGAGGGCAACTTCAACGTAGATGGATCCTCTAGGCCCATGAGGCATGTTTTGTATGTGCTTTAGCCTAGGAAAGCCGATTTCTTGTGTACATTTATGTAGTTGTTACCTTATATCCTTCACTTTCAAAGGCAACCAATGGATTAATGACTAAAGCATTATAATTATAAACCATTTTGGATGGAGTTTGTAAGAGAAGAAATTTTTAAAGATAAGTGTTTATCCAAAGCTCATAAGAATTTTGTGTTGTTGGTCATTCTCTTGTAATGTCTAGGTCATCTTATAAACTATTTTTAACTATTTGTTTTGGATCTTATTTTTAGTTGCCTCTAATATTTGAAAGAACTTTGGTTTATGCAAATTTTCACATGTTAATGGAATAGGTAACCTAGCCCATAATTATTGGTTGATTGAGTTGTGATTACTCACAAGGCGAGTTTTTTAAGTTGTGAAGGATTCTCTACAAACTCAAAGCGCAAAGGTATTGGATTTGTGATTGTAAAACTGAAGTAGTGGGAATCCTAAGTCGATTGAGGCTTAGATGTAGTTTTTGATTAGTTGGTTAGGATTAGAACTACATAAACCATCTTTTCCCACCATAAGCAAGCTAGCTTTTCTCTTATGGTTTTAGGAAATAGACGTGTATTCATGATGTTTAACAATGTATCGCCTAAAGTGTTTTATTGGCTTGTTGAAAGTAAACCCCATGAAAGTTGATGACTTTAGGAGATCAAACATGCAATATCTATTATCGAAAGGTTAGGGTCTTGAAAAAGTATGCTAAGAGATAGATCATCAAAAACATTGATGTTTAATGATACGTTCAAGCGATATTAGAAGATGTGTATAGAAAGGGCATGATTCAATATATAGTTGGTTCATTAGGTAATTGATCTTAACGGTATGTTTGAGATAACTTTTCACTTGTTTTGTTTTTTAGATCACCACCATAATTCTAGTTGGTGAATTACTTTCTTGCTGCATTTTACAAATTTATGTGGTAGAATACTGTTTTTTTTAACTTAGGTTGTTAAAGTGTTGTGACTGTCAGAAAACTGCTATCTAATTTTTTGAAAATAAAATAAATTTGTAATAACTATCACAATTTTTTGAAAAACAATCTCTTTTACAATGGTTTCACAACTGTTTCTTCAAACTGTTGTAGGTATCCCAAATAGACCCTAAGTACTTATATGTTGATAAATAATGTTGACATTCTTCTCAGGAAGTGACACCTTTCTATATGATTCATTAATTAATTTATAATTGTTATTAATATTAGTGGCGAAAGCTTTCATTTTTTGGTAGGTGATGAACTCTTAAATTCAGATTTATGAGTGTAAGTTGGTGCTTATTTTCCTCCTATGGATTTGAGTAAGTGTATTTTTGAGAAAATTATTTATTATATCTTAATACATATATATTTTCCTGACCTCTATACTTAACATTGATATCATCCATTCCTAATTTACCTAAAATACTACACACTCCTGAAGGATTGGAGAAAATATTAGGTGTGTTGCATGCACATACGACCAACGAATAAGAGGAGAGAGAATAAGAAGATAGAGTGTGCATATAAACTTAGTCTCTTATTTGCCGATCATAGGTTTCTGCAATGCAACTAATATTTTCTAGATTGACCATTGGGAATTATATTGAGGACGCAGGGCATGTTAGAGCTTAGACAAAACACGTTGGAAAAAGATCAATATATTATAGATCATCTTTTCCCACCACCAACAAAGCCTTTATTTTTTCTTCAAAGCTAAGAACACAGATGCTTCTAAGCTCAGCTTGCAAGCTATGCAATGCAAGATCTCCACCGTTCGACCACCTCTGCAAACGCCTTGCATGACGACCCCTCCTCTCCCAACGCCTCAGCCGCCGCCTTCTTCATCTCCCTCGCCCTCTTCCGCGCTTCCTTCCCCTGTTCCCCTTCCATCAGCTCTCTCACCACCCTACACACCTCCTCTCTCCCCACTAAACCCTCTTCACCGATCCTCACCCTCACCGCAACTCTCACTTCCTCCACCATCATCCCCGCGTTCATCGGCTGTTCGTGCTGCAACGGCCAGGCCGCCATTGCTACCCCGTTCACCAAGCTCTCCAGCACCGAATTCCATCCGCAGTGAGACATAAACCCACCCGTCGACACGTGCTCCAACACCGACATCTGCGGCGCCCATCCCTCCACCACCATCCCAAACTCCTTCGTCCTCTCCACAAATCCATCAGGCAAAACCTGCACCGACGACCCTTCCCCTTCTCCGCCAACCCTCACCACCCATAAAAATCGCATCTTGCTCATCTCCAGCCCCATCGCCAGCTCCTCCGCCTGCACGCGCGACACCATACCCGCGCTCCCGAACGATACGAACACAACTGAAGCTTCCGGCTGCTTATCCAACCATCGCAAGCACTCCACCGATTCCGACGGCCGGGTTCTGACCAGCGGCCCGATTGGATAAACAGGCGGATTTCCGGCTTTCAAGGCCTCTGCTGGTCCCGGTTCTAATGCCTCGAAACTGTTCACCAAAATACCGGCGGCCTCATTGTAGATCTTGGAGTGGTATATCGCGAGCTGATGGCCGGGATGAGATTGGTTTCGTATCGGCTCCGGGAGATCTCGGCCTCTTATTTTGCCGCAACCCGGGAGCCTAAGCGGTTCTGGATGGTCACGTAAATCGCAGGCCATTGTTTCCGAGAGTTGAGGAAGGTGGAGCTCTACGGAGAGCATGGTGAAGCAGGACGTAAACAGAACGTAGCCAAGGATGCCGATTTCTTCAGCAACGGGGAGTGCGGCGAGCCCGAGATTGTCGACGATGAAGGCGGCGAGACTGCCGGAGGACTTGAGGTTGAGGAGGATGCGGTGGAGGAGCGGGCGGGAGCGAGCAATGGTGGTGGAGATGGGGGTCTTCGTGCGGGTTTCAGGTGGGAGATCGTCGAGTGGTATGTGAGGGAGAGGGAGGGAGGTGATGCCGGGGGGAAGGGAGGAGAGGAGGGAGAGGTGGTGCGGGGATTGGGAAGAGAAGCCGGAAAAGGTGATAACTGTTGCGGTGAAGTTGTGGTGGACGACGAGGCGTTTGGCGAGCTCGGAGACGGGGATGAGGTGGCCCATGCCGGGGCTTGCGAGGAGGACGATGTGGGGGGTTTTGAGCATTTTCTCCATTGTTTGATCGATGGATGTTTGCTGCGTCGTATATATATAGCACTGCGCGTGCAACGGCATGCCACCCAACGGCTCTTCAACGTGAAGTTATTAGTTTGACTGGAAGATAGAAGAAGGTTGTTGCAAGATCTGAACGGAAAGAAAAAGAAGTTTAATAAGATGTGAAATTAAAAGAAAAAATTTAATTAAAAGCAGACTTATGAAGCTCAAACTATATCTTAGGTAAGAATGAAATATTACATCAGGAGGTCTACAATAGATGTCTGTCAGTGTATTAAGTTATTTAGTTTTTTTTTACTAGGGTGCCCGACTTATGACAGTTAGTGATTGAAGTCCAAATGCATCATCAATCTTGATGTAATATTTTCTCCGATGTGAGACACTATTTGATGTACATTTTATCAATTGAACACTTGAAACAGTACATTGTTTTTTCTAGTTTTATTTTATTTTCTTGAATAGTTCAGTACTTGGTCAAAATTTGATGTCAAGATATTGTATTAATTTTTAAAATCATTATCAATTGAGTTAGGTGATGCTAGCAAGATTGATGATAAAATGAAGAATCTCAAGAGGTTTTGTTCATATGCTTGCCCTCTTGAAAAATAAAAATGAAATAGAACTCAGTGACACGTTGATATGAATTGCAGCACTAAAAGTATATTCCCTTTGGAAACTATAACCTTTGTATGTGACATGTTTAAAAGGTGCTTATTCACCACTCGGTCCTTGTCATATTTCTCCCAGCAGCAGCTTGCCTAGCTGAAAACCTCAGGCATGCTAGGAATTTAGTTGATAGAAAAGTTTTATATTAATTACCTATTATGTGTAAAGGACTTAACCTTGGCTTTATTTACTGTTTTGCCATGCCATAGATTATAAATAGGTACCTGTAATAAGCTGACATAATTAATAGAAATAGATAAACTAACTCATCTTTTTTATGGTTAGTGTTGTGTTTCCTCTCCTCTTCCTTTCCTCTATTTTCTCTACTTGGTATCAGAGCAGCAGCAATACCTTCAGCAAGGATAGATTCAATCTCTTCCACTTCTACACAAGAACATTAGCAGACTACAATGCCCTTGAACAAGATCAAGGAAATTAGCATTCCAACATCTCTAAAATTCCTGATGTCTTATATCAAGAATGCTGCCACAACACCTTTAATACATGAAAACTATCTTGTATGGAAGGTACATGTCTCAAAATTGCTTACAACAAATGAATTTGATTTAAACACAGACTTGTTGAGACAACACACACTCTACTAAATACTGTAAAGTTACCCATTAAATTTTTGATGGATACTCTACAAACTACCAATTATCTCATCCATCGCATACCCTTTACCAACACTTATCAAAAACCATCTTTTCAATTACTTTACAAGACTAATTGAATATAAACACCTTAAGGCGCTATTTAATTGCAGTGAAAGATTTACGTTAATAGGATGTTATTTTGACCAGGAAGGTATGAGTTTTCATCCTTAAATCAAAGGATGAAGCCTTTTAGAGGTTCAGGGACTGAGGTTCAGCCTTTTAGAGGTTCAGGGACTGACTAACTGTCACAGAAAATAAGATGGAAACCAAGCTGAAGCACCTGAGAACTGACAATGGTTTAGAGTACTGTTCAGAGCAATTTGAGGAGCTGTGCAGGAGGAATGACATCACAAGACACAAGACACACCGGAACACTCCTCAACAGAATGACCTGGCTGAGAGGATGAACATGACTCTCCTAGAAAGAGTGAGGTGCATGCTGCTAAATGCAGGTCTACCCAAAACTTTTTGGAGGGCTGCTAAATGCAGGTCTACCCAAAAGTTTCTGGGGTGAAGCCGTGTCAACTGCCTGCTACCTTATCAACAGATGCCCATCAACTGCTATCGATATGAAGACACCTTCGGAGATGTGATACGGGAAACCAGGTAACTATGATAATCTCAAAGTTTTTGGATGTACTGCATATGCTCATGTTAGACAGGATAAGCTGGAAGCAAGGGCTCTGAAGTGCATTTTCATTGGATACCCACCTGGAACCAAGGGTTACAAACTCTGGTGCCTAGATAAAAAAAAATGCATCATCAGTAGAGATGTGACATTCGATGAGTCCAAAATGACGAATCTGTATAGCCATGCTGCTAAAAACAACATCACTATTCAATCTTCAATTGAGGTGGAGCTGCAACAACAACGAACTTTGACAGATCAAAAGACAGTTGTGAACGATCAGGATGAAGTGGCAGAGGAGCAGCAAGTGATCGAGCAATAAAGGCTTCAAAGTGATCATAGCAAATCAAAGTCCAGAAGGAAGGACAGAAGTCAGTCTTCTAAGAGATCTAACAAGTGTTACCACTGCCACAAGGAAGGTCCAAGGAAGGCCACAAGGAAGGTCACTTTAGAAGGAACTGTCCGGATAAAAAGAAAAGTTTTTAGGAGAAGCCCAGAGATTCTGGAGAGGCAAGCGTAGTCTCAGATGACTATGATTCAACTGAAGCTCTGGAGATCACAGAATCTGAATCTAGCAAGGAGTAGATCCTTGACTCAGGGTGCTCCTTCCACATGTGTCCTCACAAATATTGGTTCGAGTCACTGCAGTTGGAGAACGATGGGTCTGTTATACTTGGTGATAATAAAGCTTGCAGGGTAGTCGGCAGCGGGACAATCAAAATCAAGATGTTCGATGGAGCTGAAAGGATACTGCAGCACGTCAGGTATGTCCCAGAACTCAAAAGAAATCTGATCTCTCTAGGTACGCTGGAGTCAAGTGGATACTCATTCAAGGCAGAGAATGATTACATCAGAGTATCCAAAGGTTCCCTCATAGTCATGAAAGGAGTCAGAAAGAATGGACTATACTCACTAGTTGGAAGAACCGTGATCGACAACCTTCTCAAATGCAGTTCAATCAAGTTCAATCAAAACCTGACAGGACCGGACTATGGCACATGAGACTGGGGCATGTAAGTGAAAGAGGCTTACAAGAACTGTCCAAGGAAGAGTTTGTTATGTGGAGATCGAGTCAGCAAACTGGAATTCTGTGAACATTGCGTTTTGGGAAAAGCCACCAGGGTGAAGTTCTCTACCGGAACTCACTCATCAAAGAAACCCCTTGAGAAACCCTTGACTATGTTCACAGCGATCTATGGGGGCCAGCCAGAACTCAGACTCATGGAGGAGGGAGATACTTCATGTCCATCATAGATTATCAAACTCTCAAGCACCAGAGACTGAAGAAGAGAAAATGTACATGGAGGGTGTCCCTTATGCCGACGGGGTTGGTAGCATCATGTATGGGATGATCTGCAGCAGACCAGATTTGACCTACACTGTCAGCATTGTAAGCAGGTTCATGGCAAGCCCAGGACAGGCTCACTGGGAAGCACTAAAATGGATCCTGAGGTAACTGAGAGACACTACAGACCTGGGTCTACTCTTTAAAAGGCAGGAAGACAAGGAAGAAAAAGGTAGTTGGTTACGTGGACTCCGATTATGCAGGAAGCATTGACATCAGGAAGTCACTGACCGGATTCATTTTCACTTTCATCGGTATGACAGTCAGTTGGAAGTCTAACCTCCAATCCGTTGTGGCCCTCTCAACAACAGAGGCAGTATACATAGCTGTGACTGAAGCAATCAAGGATGTTATGTGGCTAAAGGGCATGACTGAGGAGCTTGGGATACATCAGAAGGTGATAACTGTGTTTTGCACCATTCACCTAACCAGAAATCAGGTATTTCATGAAAGATCCAAGCATATAGATATAAAACTTCATTTTGTGAGGGATGTCGTTGCCAAGAGTTCAATAGTAGTGAAGAAGATACCTACTGAAGAAAATGCTGCTGATATGCTCACTAAGGTGCTACCGACAGCTAAGTGCTGCACGGTTTGGACTTAGTAAACTTCACCAAGGGCTGAGGGTCCCTCAGGGGCCAGGTGGAGGAAATATTTACTTCAAAACTTCTCAATTGAGGGTCAAGGTGGAGAATTGTTATTTTGACTCCAAATTATTGAACTAAGATAAAATGACATTTTTGTAATGTGGTATCACTCACCTACCACATCTCACCTACCGTCCACCTAACTCCCACCTACCTCCCACCTCCTCCCCCTACCACTCTCTTCCTTCTATAAATAGAGAGGGTGTGAGACTTAGGAGTGAAAGAGAAGAGATCTTAAGCTACCACAAAGGAGGAGAGAATAGCTAGAGAGCTAGAGAGCTAGAGAGGAGGAGAGCATCTTGAAGCATTGTATCAAGGTGTCACTTGAGAGGGAGGCCATAGAAGGAAGATGAGGGCTCATCTCTATGTATAAACTATGTATTCTCCATTTCTTTTGCCTTAGTGAACTATTTGATTGATTCCCTCTTGTGGACGTAGGTCCAGTTGGATCGAACCACGTAAACGATCTGTGTTTGCTCGTGTTCTTTGCTTTTCATTTCTATGTCAGGAAGTACATATCTCAAAACATAAGATTTATCGAATCTGTGGATTTCGGTCAGTTTGCGACGAAGATGAAGCATGCAAGAAACAAAGATGTAAATCCCTGTAATCCGCCTCCTAGTTGGATTTGATAAATTCATATTTACGTCACAGAAGAGACGAAACAGGAAGAAACATACGAAACGGGAAGAAACAGATGAAACATGAGAGATTTGACTTTAGCGTATGTTATTTTGACCCCCAATTAATGAACTAAGGTAAAATGACACTTTTCTAATGTGGTACCGCTCACCTACCACATCTCACATACCGTTCACCTACCTCCCACCTACCTCCCACCTACCTCCCACCTACCACTCTCTTGCTTCTATAAATAGAGAGGGTGTGAGACTTAGGAGAGCAATAGAAGAGATCTTAAGCTACCACAAAGGAGGAGAGAATAGCTAGAGAGCTAGAGAGGAGAAGAACATCTTGAGGCCTTGTATCAAAGTGTCGCTTGAGAGGGAGGCCATAGAAGGAAGATGAGGGCTCATCTCTATGTATAAGCTATGTATTCTCCATTTTTTTTGCCTTAGTGAAATATTTGATTGATTCCCTCCCGTGGACGTAGATCCAATTGGATCGAACCACGTAAACGATCTGTGTTTACTTGTGTTCTTTGAGTCTCATTTCTATGTTAGGAAGTACATATCTCACAACAATTGATTCCGTCTGTGGGAAGATCCATACTTCTTGGCTAGAGGTGTCCGCGTAAAGGTGTTCGCGACCAGCGACGAAGAAGAGGAGTTTGACATTCACGAACAGAGAAACAAGCGGATCGCGTCACAGGCAGCACCTCCAATCCGTTGTGGCCCTCTCAACAACAGAGGCAGTATACATAGCTGTGACTGAAGCAATCAAGGATGTTATGTGGCTAAAGGGCATGACTGAGGAGCTTGGGATACATCAGAAGGTGATAACTGTGTTTTGCGACAACCAAAACACCATTCACCTAACCAGAAATCATGTATTTCATGAAAGATCCAAGCATATAGATATAAAACTTCATTTTGTGAGGGATGTCGTTGCCAAGAGTTCAATAGTAGTGAAGAAGATACCTACTGAAGAAAATGCTGCTGATATGCTCACTAAGGTGCTACCGACAGCTAAGTGCTGCACGGTTTGGACTTAGTAAACTTCACCAAGGGCTGAGGG